TACAACTGGCATAAAAAGAAAATATTATTTCCTTGTCTTTTCCTCATTCTGACTTTAAGTGCTCACTCACTCAGTCACTCTTTCCCACTGAGTAAGAACTAACTCATAGTTGACCCTCCAGCAGGTTTTTGAGGCTGTAAATAGCACAAGAGGAGATTACTCATCTTTCCCCCTTGGAGCTGCTGCTGGATTCCACCTACCAGAGGCATGGCCTTTGGGTTGGCAGTAGTGTTGTTTTGGGGGGAGGTATTAATAGGTAACATCCACCAGAAAAAATAAAATGGCAAAAAAACCCATTAGGTAACCAGGAGGCTATAGTAGGAAAAGTTTTACTTCTAATATTGCTGAGAATTCCAACATTCACTTTTAATTCTAGGTAGAATCAGCCTGGCTAGACAAAGCTGAGCTGAGAATTGTGAACAAGGTTGGATTCAGAAACATCACACAACACTCTCATACACTTTAACACAATGTTAACTAGTTTTTAGCTCTGAGATGAAATAAAATGAGCTAAAAAGTCTTTGCTTCTTGACTTCTCACTTCAGGCTTTTTGATTTTCTGAATGATTATGGTCTCACACACTGACCAAGGAGCCAAAGTTTCACTGCAGGGATACCTATGAGACACTGCAGATTTAGTTCCAGACCACGGCACTAAAGCAAGGATCATTCCCCACCTGCCAAAAAGTCACATGAATTTTTTTGGCTTCCCAGTGGATTGGAAAGTCCTACCTGCACTACACTGTTGAATATTAAGTATACAAAATACCATTATGAAAAAGTAAGAATTACCAAGATGTGAGAATAGCAGAAAGCTGAAACAGGATCAACATCTCACACCAAACACAAAAATTAGCTCAAGGTGGATCAAAGACCTGGGAGTAAAGCCTAAAGTCATAAAGTTCATAAGAGACAAACTGGGATCAAGCTTAGAAGCATTAGTTCAAGGTATAAATAGACTGCCAAATACAGCCAGAAATACACACTCTAAAGAAGATAAAATTGATGAATGGGACCTTCTAAAAATTAAACCTATGTGAGTATCAAAAACTTTTTCCAACAGAGTGAAAAGAAAACCCACCGACTGGGAACAAACATTTGGAAATACCATTTCAGATAAGAGTCTCAAAAGGAAAGTTTACAGAATACTCCTGGGCCTCCACAAGAAAAAGTCTGATAACACAATTACAAAATGGACAAAAGACATGGAAAGAATTTTCACAGAGGAAGATATATGAATGACCAACAGACACATGAAGAATTGCTCCAAATCATTGGCAATAAAAGAGATGCAAATCAAAACCATAACGAGATACCATCTCACTCCAGTAACAGTGGCAAAATTTAACAGGACAGCAAGTAATAAATGTTGGAGAGATAGAACTCTTTAAACATTGTTGGTGGGATTGTAAAATGATTGGTACAACCACTTTGGAAGGCAGACTGGAGCTTCCTCAAAAAGCTGAACATAGAAATTCCATATGCGCCAGCTATTCCACTGCTTAGAATATACTCTGAAAAAATGAGAACTGAGGCACAAACAGAGACTTGTACAACAATGTTCATAGCAGCATTAGTCACCATCCCAAGAACATGGAAACATCCCAGATGTCAAACCACAAAGGACTGGATTGAGAAATTACAGTACATTCACACAATGGAATACTACACAGAACACAGGAGCAAGGGTTTTGTTAATTATTAACTATCTTGGGAGGGACTGGAGAGCATTATGCTGAGTGAACTAAGTCAGTCCAACAAGGAAAATAAAATCATTACTGTAGAATGAGTATGAAGATCCAAGGGATGTGGATGGAAGCAGAGGAATGAGGATGTGCAGGGGGAGGGGGAATTAACTACAGGGTTGTACAATTTGACAGGTGGGTGGGTGAGGGAAATTGGAAGAATCTGGTCTGAAAAACAATGTATTCCAATTGTGTAAATAAACTAGTATAATAATTTTTTAAAAAGAAAATTAATATGCAATTTTAAAAAAAGTGACACAGAGACAGAAGTGAGCAGAGGCTGTTAAGAATGGAGCCAATGCAATTGGACAATTAAAACAGACTTTCAAGGGGGGGAAAAAGAATGAACTGGGGAGGAGGGTAGAGAAAATAGTGCAAAAATGAATGAATGAAAACCCAAAATCTCTGTAAATGCTCATTAAAATTAATAAAATTTAATAATAAAAAAAAAAGAATGGAGCCAATAAACCTGCTTGATCAGGGTTGCCACAAACTTTTTTTTTTAAAAATTATTTTTGTGTGAGTGTACCGTCAAATCAGATCTGACTGGTACAGGAAGAGATTGTCCCTCCTTCCCCGGCAGAGCATCTGGTGGATTCGAACCGTGCGCCTCTGGGATTGTAGTTGCAGCTCCTTGCCAAACTTTTAATCTATTAAAAAACTGCAAGATCTGCAAAAGGTAACAAAATGAAGCCGTGTTTGTGTTCTCAAGCTACCTAGAAGCTGGTAGAAGGCACAGGTTACTTTCATATCTACACATAAATCTTCTAAAGGTCTCCACTGCTTTTGAGACAAAGTCTAAAATCCTAATCTCCATTATAGAGGTTCTCCCCAGCCCAGCCTTGTGTGTACAGCCAGGCTCAGCTCACCCTCCCCTATGGCTTTCTATGAACAGTTCCTTGAAGGCATCATATTCCAGCTCTCTCACTCCAACTTCCTTCCTCTTCTCTTCACCTAGCTAACACCAGGCCATCCTTCAGATCACAGTTTAGACGTCACTTTCTCAGAGACGAAGGACTTGAAGCTGTGCTTAACTCTGGCACAGGCCAGTGTCACTGCATTTTCTCTGCCTTCACACGAATATCCCATTTTCTCTGCACAACCTCTGTGCTTGCTTAGAAGCTCCACGAGAGGAGGCAAAAAGTCTATCGTGGGCATTTACTTTGCTGAAAGAATCAGGAGACACCAAATGGTATAAATTCCACATTTCCACAATTGTATTTTCAAAACCAAATAAGGGGTTTTGATTCTTTTCTTTGGCTTCCTAGCGACAGTTCTTTGGCTCAAAAGGAGAAACGTTTACAAGGAAATACACTGTTAGTGCTACCTCTTTGGTTTCTTTTGTTTAATATTTCTGAGTCTTTGCCAGAAAGCAGCATTTGGTGTCCCGATAATAAAGCTACTGCTGAGGAGAATTTTGTTATGTCCTGGTGGCCTGATCTGTAAGGAGTTTTCCTGCTAGCTCAAAGGTGCTGTCTCTCTAGTGGTCTGAACCCACCAACTGCCTCAGAAGAGAAAAATAGGTAATCTCTTTTGGCGCAATTTTCAGTCTTGGAAAACCCAATGGAGGAGTAGTAAGTCAGTTTTAACTTGACAGCCATGAGTTTGACGGTGCTTTTCCCTGTGCCAAAGGCAGTGACTTCCACGATGAGCACTTCCAGTTCCCGTGCAGGTTTTCTAAATGTTTCAAAAGACTGTAAGACCATATATTATGGTGTTTCTTTTGACCAAAAGCACAATCACGGTACCTTTTAAAAATTCCATGAATAATGAATAGCATCTTAAACTAAACAGAAAGGGAAAATAAACTTGAAAATTAAGAAATCACCTCCACTCTTGGTACAGCAAGCTGTACCAAGAATGCTTATACCCAAGAAAATGACTTTAAGATCTCTCAATGGACTGCATATCAATAGACCAAAAGTTACACACAGTAATTTCTCACAGACCAGAGAGTTAATCTGTTGAAAAATACTGACTGGCAAAACCAAGGCAGGCAAGATAAGGTAGTATAAAAAATAAGGGTGTGGAAGAATAATCATAAAAATTAAGCAAGCATTTGTTCCTAAGACAAAATAGATGCACGTGTGCTGGAGCCATCATTGGCTTGACAGGACATGAATGTGGCACTGTGTTCTGCTAAGCAGTGGGTTCCCTGGATTCATCAAGTGAAGACCAAGTGTGTTCTTACAAGTGTTAGAACGAACCCCTTCCTGATTTAAGTTTTAATCAGCACACCTTTCTGTCTTTAAAAATGCTAGTAATATGACTTGGTTGTACTTGGTTTTCATGCCTTACACCTCAGAGCTCAGGAGCACGCCACTATAATCCTGCTCTTTGCCCTGCACAAAGGCGGGGTGGTGCAGAAAAACAGAGCTACCTCTGTAGTCTTTGAGCAGCGGGGCAGGGAGGAGGAGGAAGAGATAGGAAATAGAAAATGATCACTGTCCTGTTTCTTCAGGAGGGCTGAAGTCTTAAGAAGATGATAAAATCATGGTGTTTTCATTTTTGATCATCGTGCATAAAACTACATGAACCCTAAATTGCAACTGGCCAAGGATTATCACAAACTGTGCAAACGCCAAGAATCCAGAATAAGATGCAATCACTATCTGAAGTTTAATATCTTCTTTCTAACAGAGCTCCGGTAGCCTAGTGGGAAAGGAGTTGTGCTGCCAACTCAAAGGCAGGCATTTTTAAATTGCCAGCTTCTCCGAGGGGAAAAAAAATGGGTGGCCTCCTCCCACGTGATTTACAGCCTCTGAAAACCCACTGGAGAGTCAGCAATGAGTCAATTCCAACTTGCTGAAACAGTAACTGTATCTTCTTCCTTAGAAACAATTGATTCACAAGTACAGTGCTTTGGGACCATCTTCCTGGTAAATAAAAACATATAAACTTCGCAATTCTGTTCAAGCGTGAGCGTGAACACAGAGGCACAGGAGGACTTCATCTTTAGGTGCAGCTGCAAGCAAGCTAGTCACAGAATCAGATTTGGGGTTCTGACACCACACAACTCCATGACCTCAGCTCTACCATCTCTTCAGTGCACTCGGCTCTGGCCTTGCCCGATCCCAAGGCTGTCATTAGGCTTGAATCCGGGTCTGCACATGGAAGCACTCAGCTACAGAATGCTGCATATTTGTAAGGAATCATTACCATTCTTTCCATTCTGAATTTCACTGCTAAGTAGGCTTGCTATGTCAAATGGTGACACATAAAGAATTGGCACAGACCTTCTCAGTGTTCAGCTTACCTGTGTTATGTCTGGCTACAAGACCCTTGGAAAAATCCCCAGGCGTTGGGGAGGTCCTGTTGTCCCACTTTACTATGTCAAGATTGTTGCAATATTCCCATCTCTTCTGTTGAAGCTCCTGTAACCAGTAAGTCATGAGTTGACGATTAGGAGCCTAGAAAGAGAGTGAGGAGAAAGGATTATAGTCACCAATATGAGGAGGAGTCAGGGAAGGGGAGTATGGATTACATTTTGTGGGGACAGGTTATAATACATCTTGCCACATGAAAGAGTGGGTTACAAAGAATATGTCAGTTTGTAGCCTATTTTAGTGAGCAGTGATGGGGATCTTAAAAGTTTGTTAGTGATCAACTAAGGTGCAACTTTTGGTCTTTCCCAGTCCAGGGCAAAGAAGAGTGAATAAAATCAAGGACACATGTAAACAATGGATCCAAAGGGCTAATCGACCATGAAAACACAGCCTCAAGATGAGAAGAACAAAGATAGTGCCTGGTAACCACTACCAACCACTCTGAATCCTGAATAGAATTGGAGTAAATATGGAATAAAACTAAAAATCCTAAAAAAGACTAGACTTATTGGTGAGATAGAGATTGGCAGAACCCCTCTGACTATGTCCAGGCCTGGAACTAACCTCATCTCCATGACTCAATATTCAGCCAAACAATAAGACAACTTCTGGGAGTATGCACCCCTTAGAATACAAAATCACTCTCAATAAAATGGTCAGCATTTGTGGAAGAACAAAGTTCAGAAGGCAGAAAGGGTTAGGAAAAGAGGAAGAATGGAAACAGGAAACATAGGGAGGGATTTGGATGCTGATGTTATACTGTAAGGACTACAATCAATGAAACAAAATGGGTTGAATGGAAAACTGATCTGCTAAATCTTCATCCAATTCACAATAAAGAGGGCTTTTTAAAAAAAGAAATAAATTTAAAAATAAGACTCTATCAAGGAGATTACAGTTGATATTAGTAGTTTTGCTCACAAAGATGGCCTAGCAAAGAGAAATTAAAAAATTCCATAAAGACTCTGACACCAACAAAATGTAATTCTAAAAATCAGAAATCAATATAACATCCCCCACCCTAAACAAGTTTTAGGAAAGCTTGAAAATCCTGCTGCTTTCACTCTGAGCACCTATCAATTTCATCATGAGAAATCAAAAGATCTAACATTCTTGCCAGAGCACATAAATACTGATATTGAAACTCTGTAAGTATCTGGAAGAGTGTATAAAGAAAACAGCAGGCTAAAATTAGACACACATCTCAGAATGACTGAAGTTTTAAAAACTTGTGAACATTAGCAATATTGACGAGAAGGAACTTTCACACACTGCTAATGGAACACAGTACTTTGGAAAAAAACTGTAATTCTTTATACAGTTAAGCACACACTTACCATATGTGACCATATGTAACCTGTTAATGCCACTCCTAGAGATATCTATCCAAGAGAGATAAAAACATATTCATACAAAATCCTCTATACCAATGTTTATTCATAATTACCAAAAAGTGCAAATCACCCATATCTTCTTCATCTGATGAACCAGTAAAATAAACTGTGCAACATCATACAAAGCAATAGTATTTATCAATAAAAAGTAGAAACCCTCTTAATTCATACAGCAATATGGATGAATATTAAATGCATTTTGTTAAATGAAAGAAGAAAGAGTGCCTATTGTTTGGTTCAATTTATGTGGTATTTTGAAAAGGTAAACCTGTAAAGACAGGAAGCAAATCAGTGGTTATCAGGGCTGGGGGTAAGTGCAGGGGTTAATGGCAATGGGGACCACAAGAGAACCTGTAGACGACGGAGCAGTTCTATACCACAACTGTGGTAACAGATAACTGACTCTATGCATTTGTATAAACTTACAGACATACACAACACAAAAAGTTCATTTCACTGTATGTACATCAAGAGAAAAAAAAATCCCCAAATCCAAGACAGCCAAAATATGGGGAGAAGTGCCAACTGCCCCTTAAAGAAGTCCTAAAAAGAATGCAAAGGCCCAGTTACAGGAAACTCATCAACAATGGCATCAAATAAGGTTCCCAGGATATGAAAGGTCTGGCAATCAGAGAAACCACAATACAGGTCTGACAGCAAGTAACAGGCCTGGTGATTAAACCAGTCCTGTTCAGAAGAAAAGGAATGCTGCCACTGTAGCCCAACTTGGAGTCATTTTAGTGAGCTTTGCCCATGGGGCACCAAGTAAGGAAGACCACCAAGTAAGGAAGATTATAGAATCTCTGAGTATTCCACTATAGGAAATGCTTGAAAGTATCAGTCATCATTTTACCCTTCAACCAGCATCTATCTGATTTACTGAGCATCTATCTTATACCAGGAGCTGGGGACTGATCCTGAAAATAAACTAATGAGAAATATAGGAAAAACAAATCAGCGTTAAGTGCTCTGGCAAAGGTCAGAGTGGGTGAAGTGAGGCTGACTAGAGACCAGGGAAGAAAGAGTGAGCAGGAAGGTATGAAAAGTTTAGGAGATCTGCCATCAGTTCAGATTACTGGCTTAGTATCTATCTTCTCCCACAAACAAACTCTATCATATCTCCATTCTCCTACCATCTACTTAGCAGCAGACATACTCTATTAGGTGCCATCGAGTTAACAGTGACTCACAGTGATCCTATGAACAACAAATCAAAACCCTGCCCTGTCCTGTGCTATCATTGTCTGCACAATGTTCAAGCTCATTGTCACAGTGTCAATCTATCTTGTTGAGGATTTTCCTCTCCTTCACTGGATTAGTCTTCAAACTGACATCTTTGCTCTTTAGCACTCTGGAGAGATCTTTGACAGCAGATTTCCCCCAATGCAACACATTTTATTTCTTGAAGGATATTACCATGGATGTTGATTATGGATCCAAGTAAGTGAAATCATTGATAACATCAATCTTCTCTCTTGATTTATCTATTTTGATGTTGCCTATTGGGTTAGAACAGCACATCAGCAGAGAATTGCCAGAAGTCCAGGCTGGGTTTAGAAGTGGTCGTGGTACTAGGGATATATATTGTTGCTGATGTTAGATGGAACTTGGCTGAAAGCAGAGAATACCAGAAGAATGTCTACCTGTGTTTCATTGATTATGCAAAGGCATTTGACTGTGTGGATCATAACAAACTGTGGCTGACTCTGAGAAGGATGGAAATCCCAGAACATTTAATTGTGCTAATGCGAAACCTATACTTGGACCAAGAGGCAGTAGTCAGAACAGAGCAGGGTAACACTGCATGGTTCAAAATTGGGAAGGGTATACGCCAGGGATGCATCCTGTCTCCATACCTTTTCAACATGTATGCAGAGCAGATTATCCGAGAGGCGGGGCTCTATGAGGAGAATTGTGGCATCAGGATTGGTGGAAGATCTATTAACAATCTGTATTATGCAGATGACACAACCCTGCTTGCTGAAACTGAGGAAGGCCTCATGCACTTGCTGCGAAGGGTCAAGGACTGCAGCCTTCAGTATGGACTGAGGCTCAATGTCAAGAAGACAAAGATTCTCACCACTGGACCAATTGGCAGCGTCAGGATGGATGGCGAAGAGATTGAGATTGTTCACAGCTTCAGTTTGCTCGGCTCCACAGTCAACACTCTTGGCACCAGCAGTCAGGAAATCAAAAAGTGTATCGCGATGGGAAAGTCTGCTGTTAGGGACCTCTCTAAAGTACTCAGGAGCAACAGTGTCTCTCTGGAGACTAAGGTGCGCCTGATACAGGCCATGGTCTTTGCAATCGCTTGTTATGCATCAGAGAGTTGGACAATGACTAGGGAGGACAGAAGGAGAGTTGATGCTTTTGAGCTGTGGTGCTGGAGAAGAGTACTGAATGTACCGTGGACTGCCAGGAAAACAAACAGATTCATCTTGGAGAGGATTAAACCAAGCTGCTCCTTGGAGGCAAGGATTCTGGAGCTTCGTCTGACATACTTTGGACATGTTGCCAGGAGGGACGGGTCCTTGGAGAGGGACATCATGCTTGGGAGGGTGGAGGGACAGCGCAGGAGGGGAAGACCCTCTATGAGATGGACTGATTCAGTGACTGGGGTAATAGGGATGGGTGTGTCAGAGGCAGTGCGGTTGGCGCAGGATAGAGCAGGGTTTAGGGCTGTTGTCCATAGGGTCGCTATGAGTCGCAAACAACTCGACGGCACATAACAACAACAACAACAAACAATTGGGTTAATTGTAAGGATTTTTCTTTTCAGTGGCACACCTACAAATCACAACAACACACCACTCACTACAATATGGCAAAGTAACAGATGAGTGGTGTGTCAGACACACAGAAGGCATTTATTCAATAAATAAGTGAAGGAATGACACAACTGGGTCTTCACTCCAGGTCCTGGGAGAGGACCAGAAAGGGGTAGGAGATAAAGGCTGAGCCTGCAGGTGTCTCCTGGCTCTCCAACACCTCCTGGAGCCTTTGTGATCAAAATATGGATGTTGACTTTGGCATCCAGACATACTGACCCACTCTCTTCCAGGGTGTACAGTTACTGGTTCTATTATGTCCTGTCAGAAAGTCTGGCACATGTTCTCACATATCCATCACTAAGTTAACCTCTCTAGTTTCCCGCAATACAGGCCCCATGGGGGCGGGGAATTCTGTTCTTATACAAGAAAGGCTTTTCCCTTAAAATTCCCCAAGTATGAAACCTAACTGGGGAAGGCTTGTTGCTATTAGGTGCTGTCGAGGCTAGCAGAACTAAGGAAGGATTACTAACCACTTAAACATATCATAGCTTTCTGGGAAAGGGGAAAAAATAGATTACATGCTTAAGATGCCTGACATTGTATTCATGTTATAAAATTAAAAATTTATTGCTGTCGAATTGGAAATGAGTCCTAGCTGACCATCACCAGTTTTGGCGGAGGCTACAAATTGCACAGGAGAAGGTTGCCTGTTTTATCCTATGGAGCTGCTGACAGATTCGAATTCCCTGAGGGGCACCACCTTTGGGTTAACAGTAAAACATCTTATCCCATCAGAGCTCTCAACTCCCGTTCTAGAAATCTTTTTAGCAAAAGATAGACGATATGAATGAAATGAGCTTCTTTTTCTTACTACAAATTCAAAATCATTGAAAGACTCTTAATTTCCATCCTCAGACAG